TTACAATCAAGAATAAAACACATTGCAATACAGTAACAGGAGACAAGTAACAACTGTCTGGAAAAAACTTCTACTTCTACTACTACGCTAGCTATTATGGGGTTCGACTTCTTCTTTGAAGGCAGTGGATAATGAATAGTCCCACATTCTGCATAATTAGTGGGTTTTAATTTTGTGATCTTAGTAGAAATGTCAGTTTTTTTGGTGAATCTTCTAAAATGACGAAAGGATGGAGAAATTGTTGTAACTGTCTTTCGGTCTCATAGTGAGGACACTGGCTAACAAAATGTATTTCATTTTCCACTGCATTCATTGTACAATATTTACATAATCTCTCGTGCACAGGTAGTTTTCTATAGCGGCCTTTTTCTATATCCCTATCACTCATAGCCGAATATTGCCTCCCGAACACTGTTTCGGCAGGACTAGCGACTCGTCAAAGTACTCCAGCACCAGCAGGAAATCCCGCGCCGGGCACGGACGTACTGATTTACTTTAAAATTAAATCAATCTATCTATCCAAAAACCGAATGTGAATATTGTTTTTCTCTCGTTATAAACATCCCACGGTGAATCTACAACATTTTCATATTTTGACCTAGCGTTGAGTTTTTTCATCAATTTAACAGATTCATCATCATTAAGCATTATCGTTACAGTGGTTTTCTTACTAGCCTGTGTTCCATCCACAAGACATTTTGACATCCCTTTTGTGGTTTTCAACGATTTCGTTTAACCTACTTAGTTTGGGTTGTCAAGTTACAGTTGGAATTTAGTACACGCACATTGATGCCATATTCATTCACGCAAATCCTAATGGAAGGAAAACGAAGAAGCAACAACACTAACGCATTTATTTGTTTATTATGGTAAATGTGATTTTCTCGGATCCCCTTCATCTGCTTGGTTCCGCCATCCAGATGGCGTCATGGCCATGTGGGATTTTGGCGCGTCCGCACACAAAACAGCAGACCAACACGTGGTGCCACTCCTTGTTTCCCCAATCATGGATCGTATTTCACGCTTGGCACAACACACCCGGCCCACGTGGTCGCACAGGGAAGAATTTTACCGGGAAATTCTTTTGTCCCAGCAACAGTACAAAATCTGACGAGAAGTCTCAAAGTATGTCACTATGAATCTGTCCTGACCCAAGCTGTGAACAATCTGAGGAAAATATTTGGTGAATCTGTCGTTTTCTGGGTAGACAGAGCGTTGCATCATAGGATCGGACGACATTCATTTGAGTGGAAGCAGCCATTTTGGCTCATTTGGTCTCCGGGCGTCGTGAGGAACGGACGTGGGCTGCGCTGCTGCTAGATGGGGGCTCCGGTTTTCCTCGTTCTCTCCTTATTTTTGACTGGAAGTCAGTATTTTAAAGGTGGGTGAGGTGACAGTGGTTGTATCTTACTATCTTGACGCGACGATAAGGATATATGGGAGAGAAATTTGGCGTTAAAATTTTATTGAAACTCAATATTCCGTCTGTGTCTGGTTGTACGATACATGTAACGTTAAATGTCACTACGCCTCCGCATGTAGGAAGGAGTAGAGTAATATGTCTGTTTTCCTAGTGGAAAATGGGTCAGGATATTATCTGTGACATACGCACTGGAACGTGTAAATCTTCCTTTCTCTTCTTTTGTAATTTACCGGGTTATGAGCCCTCCTGACACTCCCATTGTTTTGACTATCTGTATCTCCCAAATTAACATAACAAAGGAAGATGAAACACCTGTTGAACTGGTGACCAGCATCCACCGATGGGATGTGTCCAGCAAGTGTCCTGGTGATAGCATGCAATGCTTATGTTTGAACAAAAAACCTCTTTGATAGGAATAATATTAATGATTTCATAATGAACATGCGCTGAAGATGACGTTATATGTAACACCAGTGACGTCAACATAACGTTACCACAGAAGTGAATAATATTTGTTGTCATGGTCATGACAAATTTATGGCTCTGCCTCTACTCCAGTACTATTAAAATGTTTTCTCAAGAAAATAAAAAGTAAAAATTTAATTTTTTCCAATATCTGCATTTATTACACTTACTGTTACAGACAATTGATGCCTATTCATCCCACCCCTCCATGCAATCCTCCCATATGTCCTTAAGGTCAGGTTCCTAGTATGCCATTGTTGGTTTAAGGTGCGGCTTTCATTTCCTTTGTTAGTGGCACAGCAGGAAAGTATGAATCAAGTCCTGTCTAGCATAACAGTCACTGCTTTGAAATATAGCTTGAAGAACAGGATGTGGCTGAGGAAAATTCTTTGGAATGTTTATTTTCTGATCAGCAGCTTGATTAGTGCTGGTCATTTCTGTGAAGTGTTGGCATTACATAGGACAGGGCAAAAGGTGATTGGTGAGGTTTTCTGTGATGTTGTGTCAGGGACCAATGAACTTGAATTGAGCAGTATCACAGCCTGTGATCTACACGATGCTGCCTTCTAGTCCTAGACCATTTCTGTTCCATTGAGTTGTATCACTACGATCAGGTTAATATCTTTCTTCCACTGGATGTTAATTATAATAAGTAACGTTAATTTGTTAAGAAGAAAATTGACAGAAAAAGAAACACCAAGATGCCAGTAACTATTCATTTTCAAACTACATGTACCACAATTAAACTTTTAAAGGGCACATTTGCCATATTTTGATCCCCATCCAAGAATGGACTGTTCCACTTCTACCCACATTTAATGCACTTTTTCAACATGTTAATATTATACCTAAGTGCTATGGAGAGAAATATAGACATGTTTTCCAGAGTGCTGCTGTTTCTGAAAGTGGAATTTTGAGAAAATTCATGTGAGGAATGTTCAATAATCTTTCCACCAGCCACGTAGCTCTGGAAGCTCTGAAAATCTACTCATAAAGATGTTCCTGTATTTCAGGATGTTTGGCGGAGTGTTCATCAGACCAGTTCCAGTGCGGAGACGGGTCATGTATCCCCCAGGCCTGGAGGTGTAACACTCAGGAGAACTGTCCTGATGGCAGCGACGAGGCAGACTGTGGTGGGTCTTGCTATTACATTATTGTTTTGTTGTATCATGTAACTATTCTAGATGTGTATTTCAGTACAATTTGACAACATTAGGATATATGCTGTGGTTTTTGTGATAGTCTGATCTGCTAAACCTAATCAAGGCTTCAAATTCAGACCAGTGCTTTACTGTTATTTGTGAAATGCTTCTCCCTGGCAAACATGCATTTTATTACCTTCGCCAAGAAGGTTATGTTTTCAGGGGCGTTCGTGTATGTGTGTGTGTGTGTGTGTGTCTGTCTGTCTGTCTGTCTGTCTGTAAACACGATAACTTGAGAAGGCCTTGATGGATTGTCTTGATACTTGGTAAGTGGGTAGGTCTTGATGAGACCTCAAAATGATTAGATTTTGGACCCCCTAGCGGCTTGTTATGGTACTGCAGCTGAACTTCCGGTTTTGATATCTCATGATCTAGACATGCCATGGTGATGAAATTTAGATGGTAGGTAGCTCTTGTGGTGGGAAAGAAGTGACGTGAGTTTAGGCCCCCTAGCGGCTTGCTCTGGAACTGCAGGGATGAATTCTTGAAAATATTCAAAAGGGGATAACTCAAGAACCGGTTGACTGATCGTCGTGATTTTTAGTATGTTGGTAGCTTACGTGATGCTTAATATAATTATGTGACAATTATGCAAATATGGATGTAATTTGCATAATTTATGGGGAAATTCTATAAATCAGCTGCATTCCATGATAGGACAATTGAAGCTTGTGACATTGGTAATTGACAACGAGAGAAACACAGAAAGATGTTGATTATGTTAATAATGACTTAATTTGCATAATTAATGAGAAAATTTTATAATTATGTCATGATAACTGCCTGGAATTTCATACTTGTGGTATTTGAAAGTTAAATTGAGGTGAACATCATTAAACATAATTTATTCAAATCAGTACCTCATTTGCATAATTTATTAGGAAATGCTAGAATGCATTCTTTGTTAATATAAGACTGTTTTTGGTTGAGATTATGATAATATGATATAATTCATGAAAATTAGGTTCCTATTTCTTAAATCAGGGGGGAATAATCTAATCTAAACTTTGTCAGTCATAAAGATTAACATCATTTGGCGAAGGTATGAGATCGGGGAACTCTAGGTTTTTAAATTAGTCTACATGTTTTACTTTTTTTTTCCTCCATAGCCACTCCCCCCAGTTCTTTCCAAGTCGTACCATTTTAGATGATTGAACACAGAGGAAAGTTATCTTAGAACCATCAGACTTTCTTGACTGTAATTCAATTGATCTGTTTCCCATCCTAGAGAAAACCTGGCAGTGCCACCCTTTCCACTTCCACTGTGGCAGTGGGGAGTGCATCAAGGTCCGCTGGAGATGTGACAGGGAACCGGACTGTCAGGACGGCTCGGATGAGGTGGGGTGCCCAGGTAGGACAATCAGGCTGCCTGACTACACATGATTCACCCTTTTTTGGATGACGTCCATTTGGGCATCGAATAAATCCTGTTTCAACCATTTCAGTTAATAACTTTTCAAATATGTTCAGAGGAAGTTTGCCATGAAATATGTTGGTCCCATCAGTTTGAACTTTCTACTAATGAATGATTTTTAGATATATATTCCCATATACCAGTTTAACTTTGTCATGCTATTAATTAAAAGTTGATATACTATTTTGAAAAATACATTTGTACCCTTATTATAGTCCCTTGCTGTTTTTCAGACATGACCCCCACCTGTGTGTAGTTCAGACCAGTTCCG